AACAAATACAAACACACCCTGTGGGAGTTTGAGTGTGCTAAAGCAGGTGGTGCATATCGAATCAATGGACTTTAATGGGGTTAATCTGCAACTAAACAATGAACCAGTAACTAATTTTGTTAAAAGATGGAAAGTTTTCAGATACTTGTGATACAAAAACAATGCCGAAATGTAAATTACGGATGACTGCTTTGTTTCATTTTCCTGCCTGGAAAATTACGCCTTTCAGAAGTGGAATATGATTTAACAACGTTAACAGGTTTTTGTACAGAGCGAAGGCGGAGAATTGACGCTAGATCAAAGAACTTTCTTTGCTGTCGAGAGGTGACGTGGAGTTTGAGACAAACAGTGACTGAAAGCAGGGTCGGATGTGATGCAGTGGAACTTGCCATGAGAACCGCAAGGGATGTATACGCTTTAAAAGACAGCAAAACCTGTGAAATTGAAGACCAGGGTCATTTGTACCCAAAACGTGCTATTTCGAAAAGGAAAGAAGAAAGCGTATGAGGCGACTATATTAAAACACGCCGGTCACGGTAGCCGAGCGGTCTAAGCCATGTACCAACTTCGCTTGCGCGGAAGCCGGGATCGTGGGTTTCAATCCCACACAAGGCATGGATGTTTCGCAAGTGTATGGGTTTATCAGTCTATGCCCCAAAGTTTAAGCAGGAGGAGAGAAAAATTATATTAAAACGTGCTCCTTTTTCTAGAAAAAAGAATAAAATACTCATACTGAAGTAAACGGAATTATGATATGATATTATTATCGTTATTGGTCCGTCACTGAGGGACAGCTCATACCCGGCATTTGAGAACAAAGTGCCGAACGGAATATTTGGGATTAGAAAAGGAAGCAAGAATGTGGTGCAAGCAATTAGATGACGAGGAACATAATCTCTTCTCATCTAATATCATTGTCATTCAATCAAAGCGGATAAGATGGGCTCGAATTCTAGCGTGCAATGAGAGATGGATGCAAGATTTTTGTGGGAAAAACTCAGAGGAAAGGAATATTCTGGCAGGCGTAAGTGTCGGATAATATTAAATTTTCTTTCAGGAAAGAAGGATATTGGGATCTGGAGTCCATCACGACGGAACCGGAAGAAGGGATTTTGTGAAATTTTCCGTTCCTTTAGAGCAGAGAACTCCTTGGTCAGCCGAGAAGCTCTCATTAAAGAGAAAAAAAGAAAGAAAGAAAAGAGTTGCAATACGAAGCTAGGGAATTAGTTAATACTCCTGTAAGGGAAATGTGGATGCAATCTATTTTTCAGGCAGGTTATTTGACTGCAAAGATAAAATTTTGATTTTAGTAGTAGTAAGCATGCATGAGCCGGTCACGGTAGCCGAGCAGTCTAAGGCATGTACTGTTTTCGCTCGCTTGGAAACCGGGATCGTGGGTTCGAATCCCACTCATGGCACTGATGTTTAATTTGTGTGTGTGCGTTTTTCTGTGTTTGTGTAGAAGTAGAGGCCTTGCGACGAGCTGATCACCCGCCCAAGGAGTCCTACCGAATGTGTAAGATCTAGAAAAACCGAAGTGAACGGAGAAGTTCATGGAGGTAGGCCTAGGCCCACTGGGGCTGTAGTGCCAAGGGGGAAAAAGTATGCATGAATGGAACAAATATTTTGTCAAAGTCGCTTTCTGTCCCCAGTTTGAAAATGTACATGTGTGTGTCTATTTACGTGCAATCATAAGTGTATATAGGCACCGAAAATAACATGTAATATCGTTGGTCCAGTTCCAGTGAATGTCCCACATTTCATTTTGTTCTTTCCCCAGAGAGTTCTCCCCGACTCCCTTCAATTCGAAGACCTCAAGATTCTAATTGTTTTACGAGCGTTGGAGAGACACATAGCACGTGGCAGCACCCGCTAGAGTAGGATGTTCCGTGCTGATAAGAAGATAAACCCGAGAAATGCATCCTTGGGGTGACATAAAGAAATAAGATTTCGTTTACTCATGACGCATGCCAGGTCCCTTTATGTATAGGCTTCACACAATGCACTGCAAACCAAGAGGACATAAGCTCGATGGAGAGCAACGGATCTGCTGCCGCTGGCATACATAACTCTTTGGTATGGAGTAACCGTGACCATGAATACCTACGTTCTACACTTTATGGAACACACACAGGAAGCTGACTAGAAGGACGAAGTAAGTGAGCACTGTAGGATATTGCATAACGAGGAACTTCGCAATTTATACGGGTTTTGGACAGTGAAATAGAAGAGTCCGTGCGGGACGGGAGAGATAAGGAACCAATACAGAATTTTGCTGAAGGAACAGACAGCGAGCTGAGACGATAACACTGATATGAAGAAGGGCGCGAGGAGAAGGGAGCAAGTTCTCTCTCTCAATTACACTGTCATAATAATCGTATTAATAGAAGAGGTGTATATCTCCTCTGACTCTGACTCAAATTTAGATTATTTAATAATGCTATTTCAGTTTCATCGGTTATATTACATTATGTTCGAATGGAAGACGATCATGAAAGGTGAGTTTGTAAAGATCTACAAAGGGTCATTGGTGATATATTTCAATGTACTGCACCGGAAGTAATCTGATAAAAACTAAGAAAATCCACTAAGGACATAGATCAGAATAACATGCAAGAGAGCTATGGTTACTGTATGAATTATGAATACGTAGGAAGCAAGCTTAAGTAAATTAATTGTAACTCTGTAAGATTAATGGACTATAAATTACGTATATTCCATAGCGATGCATCACTTATTAATAAAAATACATAGACTCGATGAAATAATTATAATCGTGCCGAGAATAATGCAGAAGGCCAAGAAATGCACAACATTATATCAGCCAGTGCAACGCATCCCTTACAAGTTCAGAATACGGAGATCGGGCCTTTGCTTCTGTAAGAGGTACAGACGTAAAACCATTGAAATACACACACTGCGAACCTTCTGTTTCCGTTCCCTGTCGTCTCCTCATGATACGAGAATGCTATTAGAGATATTTCTGTGAACTTCATTCCCTTACAAGGGAAGAAGAATTAGCCTTATATCTTGTTGCAGGGAAACGTTTCATATTTATACGTACGGAAGGACACAAAACAATGAAAAGTACTTCTATGAGGTTTCTTCCTTTACGAAGAAGGTAGAATAAGCTTTATTTTGTGCGAGAACAGAAGGAATAATATATTTAAGATTCCGTTGAAGAGTGAGGAAAATAAAATTTGAAAATACCAAAATTTACATTCAGTCTTGTGTGTAAACACAAAGAGAGAAACTGTAAGCGTATGGGTTAGCTGCTGTTACCAAATCTATACGTCATGTGATTTCACAAACAAAAAACTTGTAAATATAACTGAAAGAGACTATATTAATAAAATTTCCCTCAGTAATTTCCTTTTTATTTCCCTTCAGGAAGGGATAATAATCACAAGTCAGCGGAAAGCGTTTCATCCATAATCCCCTCTCACCATCTCATCGAAATGTCGTATATTCGTCTAACCGCTCAGTTATGTCTGAACGTCGAGTGTGCATGTGAAAAATATGGTCTGTCAGGCGCAGTGTCCATTAGCAGGATGTATTTATTTACCTTTACGTCATCCCCCACAGGGTAACTGTAGCCATTGCACTCAACTGTTTGAGGCCGAGCATGAAGTACACATATTTATTACACCTAACCTTGCCATACATGGACTGGAATGGTATGTAAAACAGTTTATGCCACTTTAAATGTATGCTGCGTTCTTCAGTTGTTTATGAATTTTGTAAGAGGCATAAAAATGACCGGTCAATCGCAGTATAATGCATTTCCCTGTAAATGCTTGGATTCACTTCTATCTGCGCGGTAAAATCAATGTTTGCCTCAAATAACAGCAATGTATGTCAGCAATTAATTGACGTCAAAGCGGAAAACAATACATTTCAATCTATGAGACACTGATTTCAATTGTGATACCATTTTCCTTGTTGTGTTGACGGAAACGTTACCTAACCATATACTTACGTCACATAACAGGATGCACACTACAGAAATAGTTTATGAGAGTCACGCATTTAGCATATACAAATGTATGAAAACAAACTCAAGTTATTGAACTGCAACGCTAACATCTATTTTAACAGAACATGCCTTGAAAAAATTTTATTCCAAAATATGCCTACATAAATATACACTAACATAACAAATCTATTATAAAGAAAATGAAATCAAAATTCACAAAAATTGGAATAAAGACTGAAATGAAATGTTGGTATACTAAAAAGCAGGTTCTCAATAAAGCCTTATACACCCTACATCTTCAAAATGCGAATGAATGAGGTAATTTATGGAATATAATAAACCATAATATCACAAAATTTGGAACAAAAACTTCACGGAAAATATAAAACTATAAATAAAACTTACCACTAAGAGATAAACAAACCAAAAAATCACTATATTCTCTAAAAGCACAGAAACCATCCGAACTAGAACCCGTCAGTTTCGTAGCGCGTACCCCCTACACGTGACAATATGCATTCCTAAAATTAGGCTGAACATATCAATTAAGATGAGCTGGACGTTATGTATGGAATGCGTTCGGGAGATTAGAAATGCATAAACAATTTTAGTTGGTTTTCTGTAAATAAGAGACCATATCTGAGGGTCAAGATGTAGATGGGAGGGTATGAACTGGATTCAACTGGCTCATGATAAATGTCTTATGAATAAGATAAGGAATCTCCGTTTTCTTTAAAGAGCGAGCTGTTTCCTTGCTAACAGAGCGAGTACGAACTTCGATGCCATACACATTTCGTAGTTATTTCTGTCTTGACAGAAGCTCGAAGTTCGTAAACGTTAAATAGTTGTCTCCTCTCAGCAGAACGATCGCTTTTACCTTATATATACTCCGTCTGCTTTCATTGTTAAGACATTGTTCTATGAGCCGTGACATGAAGAACTCGATACTTAACAACTGTTATTTCTCTTTGAAGTACACCGCCGTGTGACCGGCATCCTAGTGTTTCTGAAAGGCAGTACTCACCGTCTTGTCATGTAGCATGCCGATCTTGCAGTCCAGACGTACGGTGGACCCAACTCGTGCAGTCACATTCTGCGGCTCCGCCCCTTCTTCGAAATAGGGGCCCCAACGCGTCCCTTGGTGATGATGGTGCACTGATGGTATCCAGGGTAAGTTATGATGCGTCACGCGAGTTGTTACCACGTCTGGTGCAACTGTGTACGTTGCCGTGGTGGGTGCAGTTGTAGGAAGCGTGGTTAGTGGCAGAGTGCTTGTTAGTGCCTGGACTGACCACATCATGGCAGAGAGGGGCGTAGCCGGAGGCGGGACCGTGGTGACCGCTGACAGTGCCGGCTCTGCTTCCGGAAGTGGCGCAGTGGACGTCTCATTGTCTGTAAGAAGTCGCAGCAGACATTACTCGTACTTCACAGAGAACCACAAGAAAGTCAGTGTCTAAGTGGGAGTATCTTGGACATAGCTATAAACTGAGGGGTGTCGTACACTGTAATACTCAATTAATGCTGTTAGATAATTAAATTAAGAAGAATGAGATGGGCAGGAATGGTTGTACGAAAGGAGATGTAAAATGTAATTAACGCCACTCCGACAATTTGTGTTACTATTTTAACCGACTACTTATATAAAGACCTTTAACTTCCAATCAGTGCCAAGGTCAAGAAAATTTGGATCTATACATCCACTGTCCCATACGCTTTCATGGTGTAGTGCTTAATTAGTTAAGCATAGAGACAACTTTACTTATCTTTTTACTAAGTACGTAAATAAATCAAAAAGTGGACTGAATTACTATTATTATACAATGATACACTTTAAAAATGAAAAGTGCTGACACCTGCTCACTCTGGTTCATTGCTTGCGAATTTCTTCTGCCGTGAAGATGGAGATAATACATTCCTCCGAAACGTCGGTTAACACAATATCCACACGGCTCCACATCCCAGAAGACATTTTTCTTCAGTTGTAGAGGTCATTACTTTTCTTTATAATTTGGTCATATCAAAGGCAGACAAGATAATATTTCAGAGAGCTGATGGGGAACGCGAAAAAGAAGCGCCGAAATACGTGCCATTTAATTTGAAATATTTGCAAGTTACGACATTCAATAAATTTAATTGCAGTCCATGGCGCACAACGAACTAATTTCAAAGGAAACTATTACTTAAGATAAGATATCAGAGGCAACTGAAGACATTACTGGGGATGCAAGTAGGAAATTACATTTTCGTTGTGAATCCGGCTACAAACTGCTCAGGAAAATAAATCGTTACGAAAAAGATATCTGATACTAACACGCAAGTATAGTTGGAGGGGGGCTGAAGACGGCAGCTGAATGTCTCCCCACCATCCAACTAGCTTGGAACTGTCACTCAAACTTTTTCAATTCGAAGTTTTTTTACGACTCGCGTTAGTCTTGCGTAAGTTCGAGTGGGGGATGGAGTCTATGTTGACAGAATAATGCAGTAACTTCTAGAAGTTATATAATCATTTTCTATAATATTCATGTCTCGCCTGCTTTTGTTGGTTTTTTTCTTGGTTTACTCCTTGGCTGTAATAATTGATGCGGCATGCTCCTTCGAAACGTCGAACTTTATAAAAAATACACAGCATCAGATCCTAAGAGATTATGCTCAAAATGTACAAGTAGGATGCAGTTTGAGAACAATCCGCTCGAAGGATATTATACCCTCAGAGAAAGGAGTAACAAGGGGCTGAAATAATTGCTCATACGTCATGAGGAGCTTCGTTCGTACACTTTGCATAAAAAGCATTTCTTCTCTTATCTCGCTCCCACTTTGGAGCACAGGGCTGATTTCTCGGTTTCATGATCATTTTTACAGACGGTAGGACTCATTGGACGAGTGATGAGCTCGTCGCAAGGCCGCTGCCTAATCACAGGACTACATAAACATAGAATAAAGACATGGACATACCAAACATTCATGCCTTGTGTGGGATTAGAACCCACGATCCCAGCTTCCAAGCGAAACAAGACAGTACATGCCTTAGACCGCGCGGCTACTGTGACCGGCCATAAAAGCATTGCCATGAATAAATTAAGGGAATGAAAAGAGAGAGACTTGTATTGCTCCTGGGGAGGTGAGAACTGTATATGAAATTACACTTTGAAAGACAGAAATGAAGAGACAACCTCTTTGATCTATGCATGAACTGGTGGATCATACTGAAGCAATATGCTATTAGATAAGTATAATATTGTAACGTGTTTCGTTACTGAATACGCCGTAGAGATCGTTAATTGGTTTATTGAACAATCTACAAATATCGGCTACAATTACTTATCACACAGTTACGGGTTTCCACAGTTTACAAACCCTACGACAAAATCTCTTAACACAATCTTCACTTGTCTTCACGTACTAATAACGCGGGAGCTATACAAGTCTCGCTGAATTACACACTTCAGATATAACTGGTTATCACGAACTATCACTGATTCTCGCACACGCGGCTGTAGCTCGTAACTTGCGAACTGAGAACCCGTTGATAACACACTGACTCTCGCTTGCTGCTCAGCCGGCTTTTATTCCGTTCGCTGTTGCTAGTGTGACGTGGCGTATAGCCTAGGACGCTGTTACCCCTTGGTGACGTCACCGCTGTTGACTAGCTTTGCATTGCTTCAAGGTTGCGGGAACTCGGCTAGCTTCGGCTCCGCTCGGCTCACTTCGGCTCGGCTCGGCTCACTTCGGCTCGGCTCGTGACGTCACCGCGGGAAGAGTTGCGGGGTGATGACTTGCCTATTACGCGAGCGCTACGTTACCGCTACGTGCAGCTTGGGAGGTAGGGGTGAACATGTCACAATAGAGTATAATATACTATAATAGAAGTATAAACTTATAGAGCTGATATCAAAATCTTATTCATAATGTCACATCAAAGAACTTAAGCAGAAAGATTCATGTTTGGGTCTATCATATATTTGAAATGTAACTGCACATGCTCTGTAGAGGTGTGGAACTGTGATATCCCTGAGGGAATAAGAGATATGCGGATGTTTGGGAACAGGATACTGAGGGCAACATTTCCACCAATCAGAGAAGTTGTTATGGGAGAATTGCATGGTATGGGTCTTTATAATTGGCACTCTTCATCATATGTCATTGAGGCCGTGAGACGGGAAAACATTCAGTGGAGTTCTGAAGCACATATGCAATTTTATCTGAAAATCCTGCAGGGAAGAGATCATTTGGCAGACATAGGCATAGGATAATATTAAAATCGATCTGTAAGAAACAGATTGCAGCGGTGTGTACTGGATTCATCTGGCTTGGGTTAAGAGTCAGTGGCGGGCGGGTTCTTGTAAATATGGCAATGAAACTTCAGGTTCAGTATCAGACGAGGAATTTCTTGACTAGCTCAGCCACCGCTAGGTTCGAAGGTGTCTGGCATGGTCGTCTAGTCTACAGAGGGTTCGGCCGGCTCAAGACATGGACCACAGCTTCTGAAGGGGTTTAGTGGCCGGTAGACGCATGAACGTTTTTCATAACGCTTTGTACTCGCTCAAAAAATGAGAGATTTGTGCGTCTTGTGTGACGTCATAGAAACACTGTCAATCTATTTTGCTGACTAACCTAACCTAACTCGCCCATCTACAAATGTAGGAAAAATATAAACCTGTAGTATCGTATTACGCCATAGAGGAATGTAAGCAATAGGAAGGGAAGAGGAAGAGTTCTATCTTCTGCGATATAACGCCGTGCAGCTCTTTGAAAGCCAACCGACGTTTCTGAGAAACATATCGCCTCCATCTTTAGGGCCGAAATGCTTGCCACCCGTTTTCAAGCTTGTTTCTTGCTTGACTTATTCTTCGATCCTGAAGATGGAGGCGATATGTTCTTCCGAAACGTCGGAAGACTTTCATGGACTACACGACGATAGATCCCAGAAGATACTCCTCACAACCGTCGCTGTGAGAACCTCAAATCCTACATGAGGGGAAGATGTTAAGAATGGCTTAGGAGTAGCGCAGGCGCAGTGTCGCTGGAGGATGTGTGCACACTCGAACTCGAGGCAGCGTTCATGAATGCGTCATGTTCATACGCGTACTGAATAAGCAACATGTACATAGATTCGGGAAGTACTATAAAACTTCATGCTAACGTCACTAGAGGCTAAATTTTGTCTGGATTCATGATCGGCTTCACGTGTTGTTCTAGGGCCGTGTTGTCATGTGATCTACATCTTCCGCCGTTTTTGAGTGTCATATTACAGAATGTGTAAAGTTTAGAGGAGCAGTTTACGGTAATGGAAGCTGGGAGTGAATGTCACAGCACTCATTTTTTTCTTATAACATTTACATGAACAAACTTCATGAATATATTGTTACAATGTATTTTTACGGAATATCCTCTTCAGTTTTCAAGAAAGTCATATAAATCTCCAAATTTGCTGCAGTTCCATAGAGTTTTCAGGATTCACAACATACAGGGTGTAAATAAATATATGTTATACTGCTCTGTGGTAGGCAGATTTCTTCCACATTATTTCCAATTTAGCATTTCAAGATAAACATACTAAATAGCTGAAACTCGCAAATAATATACTGCAGGATATTAAACGCCAATTCCTCACTTCGAAGCCCAGGGTTCAGTACCTGGTGGCTTCAAGTCAAATTCGTGTTTCCTGAAGTAAGTAACACTGGAGCAGGTTTTCCTTCGTGTGCCTTCGGTATTTCCTTTAATACATCGATATCGAAGATTGTTCCATATTAAAGTTCAGTGACATGTGCCGAAGCCCTGGACAGTAGAACTTCATTACAACCTAGGACTTTACGTTTGGGGTTTCATCCCTAAGCCTGCATTTGCCTCGACACAGAGTGAGGTGCACACCCAGTTTTATTATAAAGAACGGTAGACAGGAAGTATTGCTTACTGCTCAATGACTATTCCAGAAATCTCTATCATCCTATCTGAAGAATATGACACATTGCGTTATACTAATTTGCTTAACACATCTGATATATGTTCCCGAACTTCACTTCGGGATTAGGCAATTAGGACCCATTTTGGGTCTAACTTGGACGTGGTTTTGTCTTATGAGCATTTAGTTTCTTTCTTCTGCTGATTGGTTACCTAATCATTGCACAAATCCATCCTATGCTTTCCTGTTAGTGTTTGCCCTCGATTCTAATACTGAGGGGTTCTGTCTAAACCTCCCTTAACTCTGCATGCAAGTCTTCTTCAGGTGCACTACATACAGGACCACAGTTACCTGGAAGTCACTAGGACAGTACGAATAGTACCGGCGAAGGATAACGGTTAAGGGTGTTGTTTCTTCAAGCATGCGCAATGGAGACATTTGGGAGCGGAGGTATAGCTTCTCTGTTCTTGGCCTCGACGCTAGATGGCAGTGA